CGGCCCGCTCTCTGCTCACGCAGAGAGCTGGCGCGCATGCGCAGTACACCCCTGGGTTTTATCCACAATAAGCTGGGGTTATCGTCTGCAATTTGCTGTAAAACCTCCACTTTTCAACAGTGTGTTAATGTCAACAGCAGAAGGGGAGTCAGCTCAGATTGTGGAGGAAGAAATAACCTCTTTATTGAACAAAAGAGCTATTCGAGTTGTGCCGCCGGAGGACAGCCATCAAGGTTTTTACTCCCGGTACTTTGTCATTCCCAAGAGAGGGGGGGGGGGGGGGGGTCTCCGTCCTATTCTGGATTTACGGAACCTCAACAAACACCTCAGAAAATACAGGTTCAAAATGTTGACCTTAAAGACGTTATCTCAAATTATTCGTCCCAAGGACTGGCTTACGTCAGTCGATCTGAAAGATGCATATTTTCACATAAGCATCTACCCGGCACACAGAAAATTCCTCAGGTTTGCCTATCGAGACACAGCCTACGAGTTTTTGACAGTCCCGTTCGGTTTGTGTTTGGCTCCCAGAGTTTTCAGCAAATGTGTGGAAGCAGCGCTCACACCGCTGAGAATAATGGGTCTAAGAGTGTCAGCATATTTGGACGATCTGCTGCTGTGCGCGCCGTCATGGCAACAGGCAGAGAGAGAGACACACATGCTTGTGTCTCATTTGGAGAGCTTAGGTTTCAAGATAAACGAAACAAAAAGCTGCATGGTGCCTACACAAGAGATAATTTACCTGGGTCTCAGACTGAACTCGGACCTTTATCAAGCTTTTCTGTCCGAAGAGCGCATCAGGTCAATTCGCGGCTGTCTATCCCTTTTTCAGAAAGGAAACAGAGTTCCATTCAGACTGTGTTTACGTCTTCTAGGGCTGATGGCCTCGACAGTTTCTGTCATTCCACTGGGACTGTTGCGAATGAGGGAGTTTCAGAACTGGAAGGCGGCGCAGGGTTTGTGTCCAAAACGCCATCTCAACCGCAAGGTGATAGTGACGTCACTCTGCATGCGCGCTCTCCGTCAGTGGAGAGATCGCTCATTTCTCGAGTCAGGGACTCCGCTGGGAGCAATTTCTCTGAGAAAGGTGGTTACAACGGATGCGTCGCTCACAGGTTGGGGTGCAGTGTGCGAGGGCAGGATAGCGAAGGGGAAATGGCCCGTCTCGCTACAAAACGCACACATAAACTTCCTGGAACTGTTAACAGTTTTTCTGGCACTGAACCATTTTGTGCGGTTCTTAAGGAACCACCACATTTTGATCAGGTCAGACAACACAACGGCGGTGGCATACATAAATCGCCAGGGAGGCACACGTTCCCATCTGCTTCACAGTCTGGCACAGAAAATTATCGTGTGGAGCGTGAAGCATTTTCATTCACTACGGGCAACCCATGTCCCGGGAATAATGAATGTGGGGGCGGATCTCCTGTCCAGAGGAAATCCTCTGTATGGAGAATGGACTCTCCACCCTCAGGTAGTGAGCCAGTTGTGGGAGAGGTTCGGCCAGGCTACCGTAGATCTCTTCGCCTCGCACGAAAACACTCAGTGTCCTCTATTCTTTTCTCTGGCGAGAGACGGTGCGCCTATGGGTGTGGATGCTCTAGCGCACCCGTGGCCAAACGCACTACTGTACGCGTTTCCTCCACTAAGTCTGATATTTCCAACTTTAAGAAGGGTAAGAGAGTACGGTCACTCAGTCATAATGATTGCCCCGAACTGGCCAGGGAAGTTGTGGTTGACGGAGATAATTCAACTCCTTTGCGACCAGCCTTGGCCTCTCCCGTTGCGCAGGGACCTTCTCTCACAAGCGCGCGGGGAGATCTTTCACCCAGCCCCAGACAAAGTGGCTCTTTGGGCCTGGCCCGTGAGAGGTTAAACTTGAGAGTGACGGGTTTGCCTCCGGGTGTGATTGAAACAATTCAGAATGCACGAGCGGCTTCGACGCGCTCTGCATATGATCGGAAATGGACTGTGTTTGAATGATGGTGCGCACAAAAACACATTGTTCCTTTTCTCTGTTCTGTGGCGGATGTGTTATGTTTTCTGCAGGAACTTTTGGATAAGGGCAGAGCCTTTTCAACTGTTAAGGTTTATCTTGCCGCAATTTCTGCGTGTCATGTGGGGGTTGACAGAAACACTATAGGTCAACACCCGCTTGTATGCAGGTTTATGAGAGGTGCACGACATTTGAACAGGGTTTCAAAGCCATTGATTCCGCCGTGGGATCTGTCTGTGGTCCTTAACGCACTATCTCAGTCCCCTTTTGAGCCAAGAGAGTGTTGAATTAAAGCTCCTTTTGCTAAAGGCTGCTTTATTATTGGCTCTTTCGACCGCAAAGCGGGTTAGTGAACTTCACGCGCTATCGGTTCATAACTCTTGTATGCAGTTCGCTATGGATTACTCGAGAGTAACTCTCAAAACGAATCCAGCGTTTGTGCCTAAAGTTAGCGAGTCAGCTCTCGCCTGTAAACAGGTGGATTTACTGGCTTTCCATCCGCAGCCTTTTTCCTCGTCAGAGGATGCGCGGCTTCATTGCTTGTGCCCTGTCCGTGCGTTGCGTCATTATGTGGACAGAACGAAAGCACTAAGGAAGAGTAATCAGTTATTTGTTTCATGGGCTGATTCTCATAAAGGGAAACCTATTTCGCGTCAGCGCCTGTCCCACTGGGTAGTGGAAGCTATTATATTAGGTTATAATGGCATGGGTCTCTGTCCTCCGGAAGGGCTGAAGGCTCATTCTACCAGAGGTTTGGCTACCTCATGGGCACTGTTTAAGGGCGTTTCAGTTCAGGACATATGTGCAGCAGCAAGCTGGGCTTCGCCTCACACTTTTGTCCGATTTTATAGAATGGATGTCACTGAGCCATCACTGGCTCATTCCGTCTTAAGTGTGTAAAAAAAAAAAAAAAAACACACACACTCATTGTGGAGTGTTTATGTCGCATACATCACTGAGTTGGTTGACATGCCTGGTTGACATATCTGCAATACGGGAGTTGTCTATATCCCATAGTGAGATACCGAGCGAATGTTTGAAAGAGAACTTTAGGTTACTTACGTAACCCCGGTTCTCTGATAACATGAGTGAGGTATCTCACCACACGTCCCTCCTTGCAGTGCACGGAGAAGAGATATGCAGAGAATGAAGTAGGGACCACTGGCAGCGGTTTATATGAGGGAGGTGGGACTCCCGCATCACTGTCGTGATTGGTCTGCCAACTGACAGACGTGGTGTGATTGGTACTTCCAGATCTGTCACGCTCAGAGGCGTTCCCATAGTGAGATACCTCACTCATGTTATCAGAGAACCGGGGTTACGTAAGTAACCTAAAGTTTTAAAATATCGGAAATTGAATTATAGACGATGACGTCACCAGCCCCCCCACATGCTCCAAATTCACCCAAAATAGTCTCGTTCCTTTGTGCTCCGTTTGTGCTGGTTTGTGCTGTAAAAAGTTTCGTTTGAGCTGCTTCGGTTTTTTAGATATTAAAATAATATTACGTGGTCATTCTGAGGTCACTCAGCCCCCCACATGCTCCAAATTCAGCCAAAATAGTCTCGTTCGTTTGTGCTGGTTTGTGCCGGTAAAATTTTCGTTTGTGCTGTGTCGGGTTTTAAAATATCAGAAATTGAATTATAGGCGATGACGTCACCAGCCCCCCCACATGCTCCAAATTCACCCAAAATAGTCTCGTTCGTTTGTGCTCCATTTGTGCTGGTTTGTGCTGTAAAAGGTTTCGTTTGAGCTGCTTCAGTTTTTTACATATTAAAATAATATTAGGTGGTCATTCTGAGGTCACTCAGCCCCCCACATGCTCCAAATTCACCCAAAATAGTCTTGTTCGTTTGTGCTGGTTTGTGGCGGTAAAATTTTCGTTTGTGCTGTGTCGGGTTTTAAAATATTAGACATTCAATTCTTGTTGATAACGTCACCAGCCCCCCACATGCTCCAAATTCACCCAAACTAGTCTCGTTCGTTTGTGCTGGTTTGTGCTGTAAAATGTTTCGTTTGAGCTGCTTCAGTTTTTTAGATATTAAAATAATATTAGGTGGTCATTCTGAGGTCACTCAGCCCCCAAGAGGCCAAGAGAACAGCGAAACTATCCTCGAGGTGAGCACACTTTTAAAGTAGAATTGACAAAGACGTTCTGTCATTACATAATTTGTTCAATAAACAATTATCTTCACTTCAGTCTCTTCTGATTGTATTTTATTTTTACGAGTCTCATCTGCTACACTTCACTGCCACCACTAGGGGCAAGTGACACTTCTGTTCAAGAATGCTCTTGTATAAAATGCTGTAGAGTTGGTGGAGAAAAGGTCGATATAAATCAAACTACAAAAGTCGTTACTAATCCAAATTTCTGGCCAATGTAAGTATACATTGTTTTAAAACTGTCAGTTACAATATTAGTAGCTTCACGAATAATTGTACAACATTCAAGAGAGCTTGTTACTTGTTATTGAACAGAAACCTCATTAATAACACTTATATTACTAATTTAGCTATGAAACGCTGTTTACAGTTGCAGAAATTTGCCTTTTAGTATTAAAAAACGACCATGTGCAGCTGTATTTAACATTTCATAGCTAAATTAGTGATATTAGTGTTAGCAAGGTGTCAACATTACCATATTGGTCCTAATATAAGATATATTATCCATCTACATTATCCTTACTATATTATATTATCCTATTATTCTTATATTCAGACCAATACAGTCATATATTAAAACAAATTTATGCTGTACATGATATTTTTTGGAGTCAGGATAATTGAGGGTAATTATGTTGTGCTTATGCCAGATGCCCAAGAAACCAGCAGTCGACAGGGATTCCATTTTCACAGTCCTGTGTTCATCAAAGGAGGCCATAGTCCAAAATGGCTACATAGCTACTCCTAATCAGAGCATCTGGATAGAGCTTAGTAAACAGCTAGACAACAAGATCACTGCAAAGGCAGTATACACTTTTGTTAAATTAAACAGACACAATATCTGGACTGCTTTAGGGTTTACTCATGAAAGTGATCATGAAACAAGTGGCAGTAGTGATGACACTGATTTTGAGCCAGGGTCCCTTTCCTCCAGTCCAAAAGATTGCTGCACTTTTGATTTTGAAGTTCCATTTCAGAAATGGATTGAATTTATGCCTGAAACAGTAACATACAAAAACAAGTTCTCTAAAACAAAAAAAAGGGAATACACAATTTTGAAGCCTGGTATCTGGACGCATGTGATAAATCATCACATTTGGCAAAAAGTGAAATGTCCCTGCACATTTGCTTTTAAAAGAGCCAAGCTCTATCCATCAGTCACAGACAAATATATTGTAATCAGAGGCAACTGTAAGGAGTGTCGTGGCCACATTCACATAAAATGTGAAAAAAAGCCTGAAATAAACAGCACAATGAAGTTCAGGTGTTCACTTAAAAACACTGATGACTCCCAGCATACTGGCTGTTCCAAGCGTGCGATGTCTGGTAACTTGCGTGTGCAGATATCCAAAGAACTGTGTGAGGGTAGAAAGGAACCCCATGTATGGAGGGCATCAGAGGCAACAAAGCTGATGGATTTTGGAGATCCTGAGCCAAGTCATCTGCCTAATTTGGCCACCCTGCGCAAAGCAAAGCAAGAGAGAAATGATTTAGAATTAGGCGACAAGGATCCTATTCTGTCATTGCAGATGCTAAAATACAGTGCACCTCACAGTGGTAGCATTAAAGACATTGGACTAGACAAGTTTTTCTGTCACTATTGGAGTCAAACACAAATGTATATGTACAAGACGTTATCAAAGACATCTACTAACCCCACTGTGAGTTTTGATGCAACTGGCTCAGTGGTGAGGAAACTACAGAGACCAAATGGCAAGTCTGGCCATATATTCCTATATCAGGGTGTTGTGGCAGGGGGTGAGAGCTCAAGTGTTCCAGTGGTGCAAATGCTGTCAGAGAGACATGATGTTAATGCCATAACACATTGGCTGACAGAATGGATACGCGCAGGTGCACCTACTCCAAAAGAGGTTGTGAGTGACTTTTCTCTGGCTTTGCTCGGAGCTTTGGTCAAGGCTTTTACTTCTCATCCTGATCTTAAGACCTACATCAATGAGTGTTGTGGTGTCTTACTCGGTAGACAGTCAGCAAAAGTCCCACCTTGTTTCGTGCGGGTTGATGTTGCACACTGCATCAAGATGATCTGCCGGTGGGACTGCTTGAAAAAAAAAACACATCGCATTAAAGATTTCTTTGTTAGGTCAATAGCTCAGCTTCTCATGTCACAATCCATGGACGATGCAAGAGAGCTACTAAGATGCATTACTGTTGTGGCTCTCAGCGAAACAGAGGGTAGTGACAGCTCTGGAGCCCCCCTCATTTCAGAAAGGTGCAAGAAATACCTAAAAGCCCGAATTGCAGAAGACGTGTCATCATTCCAGATGTAGAGGGTGCGGACCTGGAAGAAGTGGATCCATGTGACCAAACACAGACAGACCTGCGGCAGTGGGTAACAGACATATGTGAGGAGAGCAGGTCACTTGCCACATCTAATGGTGATCATGACAATATGCACTTCCTCCCTGAGATTATTCCAAATATAATCTGGCTTGCAAATTACTTACCTCTCTGGACAGGGGTAATGATCCCTCACTTCCGGAGCTCCAACATCACCGCAAGTTCAGCCAATGTCGAAGCCGAGTTTAAAAACATCAAACGCGGCCTTTTCAAGCATGAACACTTGCCTATTCGAGTGGATCGATTCATTGCTCGACATCTGTCCTTCATTGAAGGCAACATGCGTATTTTTTCTGCAAAACAAAAGAGTGTGGAAAAAGGTGAAGAGGATGAGGCTGTTGCGACAGTGCTCGACACAGGAGTCAATCCACTACCCACCGCAACCTGCAGGATAGATGGAAGGCCAGAGATGGATGCTTCCTGCTCTGGGAAGTCTGACACCGTCACAAACATCCATCCAACAGATGAAGAAGCTGTTGAAAACTGGAGAGGCTTAGCGGTTCCACCCAAAAAGAGGAAGAGGAGTTCATACCTCTCTCCTTGTCCTGAATGGCTCCATGCAGATCCATCTGTGAGAGGGAAAAGACTCAAAGTGGACCTGTTGAAAAATGGAAACAATCAACAGCCTGTTAAACTCAGGAAATCAAGAATCTCTGTGCTTAACAAATGTGCATTTGATGCTTTTTGTCAATGCTTATGTTGTGCTTACTGTGATAGTGTCACTTTTGAAAATATTGTTTGCAATGAGGATTCCAACAACCTCCTCCAGCTAGTGAAATCCATCACCACAAAGGGTCTGAATACACAGGCCTACATACAGAGGGCAGAACTGCTGAGCGAAATATTCAAAGCTGTCCGACTGAAGTCTGGTGCTCTCCAAATCGATGCACAATGCCACATCTCCACTATCATTGAAAAGTCAATGACAAAACGCACATGTGTTTCATTAACAAAACAGTGCTCTTCACAGTATTGTGGTCTCAGCAAACAAGTCACAAGGGAAATTACATTTGTTTGTACTTCTCTTGCTGTACTGCAGGCTTCTGGCATGGCTCATCTTCAGACCGCAGTGGAAGAAGGCCTTGACCTCCCGGAGTCCCCCTGCCTCAGGCCGATCCAAAGTCTGTCACAGTGTCCCTCTGCAATCAAGCCAGATACCTCAGAAAAAGTGCTCTGTGCAGGGAAAGTTTCTCACAGTTACAGTCTGGGAGAACTTATGTGGATTGACACTGACCTGGGAAGCAACTCCACAGAATTTCCTTTGAGTGAATTTCCCTCCAATCTGATGCTCCAGGGAAAGAGATTTACTTTGCGGGCAGTCATTGCTTTTAGAGGAGGCTTAACCCAGGATGCTCTTGGGCATTATGTGGCCTTCTGCAGGAGGTCTCCATGTGTCTGGGAGGTGTATGATGACCTGAGAAGTGGAGTGACAGCAGCGTCAGATAAAAACAAAATATGCCCACATGCTGTATTATACACAAAAGACTGATTGCACTATTTATATTTAATTTCACAAGTTAAATTATTTTGGTTGAACTTTTTGTATGCCACATACCCTTGTTTTCCTACTCCTGTTAGGAGAAGGAAGTAGTGTGCTATTTTATGGAAGTTTGCACACAAGTCTATTATTTTGTGTGGTATCTTTTGGTTTGAAGACAGATTTAAACTTGTCAGTATTAATTGTTTTTAAGTTTAAGTTTTTAACGTTTTTTGTTTTTTTGTTAATGGATGTTCGAATCGATAGTACATAATTAAATTTCAAAAGTTAAATCATTTTGACTTAATTGAGTCATGAGTTTCCTCATACATAATAATAATAATAATAGTAGTAATTAAATGATATACACACAGACACATAAATACACACACAGTAGCCTACCAGTCAAAAGATTTAAAAGGTTTATTTTTTAATGTTTCTCAAAGTTTAATGTTCCCTTATGCTCACTAAGGCTATATTTATTTTATCAAAAATACAGTAATATTGTGAAATATTATTCCAATGTAATACTGCAGTTTTATATGTGAATATATAGTAAAGTGTAATTTATTCCTGTAATCAAACCTGAATTTTAGCATCATTAGTTCAGTGTCACATGATCCTTCAGAAAACATTCTAATATAGCTACGGATGTTATGAATTTGATGCTCAAGAAACATTATCAATGTTGAAAACAGTTGTGCTGCTTATTGTTGTTCTTTTCTTCTGAAAACCAATATATACAACAATTCAAAGATTTTGGTTAAGTGATATAAAATATAATACTTTTATATAGCAAGGAAGTAATAAATTAATAAAAAGTTGATCAACATTGATCAAAATTAAGAACCTTTCTTAACTGAGCACCAATAATAATGGAGCATACAATCAACATTTTACTATGATTTCTGAAGAATCATGTGATATCGAACACTGGAGTAGGTCTAATGATACATAAAATTCAGCTTTTACATCAGTCTTATACACAAAATGAATTATACGCATGGGCGTCAGTTTGGTTTGAAATGTGGTGGGGACAGAGACGCATTCGGAAGGGCATTTTCAAAAGTGCTGGGTACAATGACGCATTCATTCTTTTTTCTCTTTCGCGCAGGTCATGGTTTGAAAGACGATGTCCTGTAGCTTACTGATTGAAATAAATAAAAATGTATGATGTCCGACCAAAAATGTGATGGTACTTTGGGTTTAATTGGTCGTAAAATGAGATCTAATATAATGTTGTTAGTATCGTGAATTTTTGCCAAGCGTGTCGGAGGTTGAGGGTTCTAGTCCGCACTCGGTATAGTTTTTTTCCCTCATCAAAACCGATAATGTTTATCAGTGGTTGTATATCAAGAATCTTGATATACTTTATCACTGATAAACATTATCGGTTTTGATGAGGGAAAAAAAAACTATACGAGTGCGGATTAGAACCCAGAGAAGCAGGGACACGTTTGTGTGCATTTTGAATTGTGATTTCTCTGGAACGAATAGAATCTCTGCAACGGATTGAAGCGCGCGTCCGAGTGAAGACAACACATTTCAGCGCTAGATCGCGTCTTATTTAACAAATGAATGAAACGAATGCTGCTAGTTAACTGGAGATGTTTTATTTGTATTGGTACATCCGTGACGCGAGATGTTTCAAAAGTGGTGGGGACAATATCGACCCTGGCAAAAAGTGGTGGGGACATGTCCCACCCGTCCCCCCCGTAAATGACGCCTATGATTATACGTCATGTTTATCCACTAGACTAGAGACATCAGAGCCAGCAGCAAACGTCAGAAGCACTAACCGAAGAAAAGCTGTTCCAGTCGGGGTTGAGCGTTGAACGCCTGAGAGGTGATCACCTGGATCTCACAACTCCGAAAACGTCAGATACTTTTTTCAAATAGGCGCTATCTTTATAAATAAACCACAGATTTGAGCTTTAAACAACTACATTCTTGCCTGAAAAACTCTTAAAATTACATTTCATGACACAATAACAGTAGTATTTTGATATTACGTGGGTTTTCTCCTCTGCTATTGACGCTTGCTGGTTGGTGCGAGATGCATTCTGGGATACTTGGCTGTCTCAAGTCCGCACAAGTCATCCTCGGTAAACGGGGCGGATCAAGAACACATCCGGGGATTTGAACTGGACTTGACTAGATGTGAACTTTGAATTGGAACAGTACTTGGGCAGCGACTGATGACGTTTCACAAGTCCACAAGAACACAAGTACAGACAAGAACGCATATTGAGAAACGGCCCTTAGTATTTCAGCTCGTCTTATGTTCCCCTGCATGTTGGGCAATGAAGTCAATTTTTTTTTTCCATGACTAAGCCTTTCAAGTGAAGAAATGCAATAGTCTCAATGGCAGTGTAACGATGCGGCTGAAGCAGATGCAGGAAGCGGGATCCACGTGCAGCAGTGATTTTAATAAATGAACTAGAAACTAAACAAATACAGGCACGGTAACAAGACTCAGGAACAGGACAGCCAACATACCACGTCAAGAACCCATAAAGACTAAACAAGACACAGGGCTTAAATAGACAGGAAAACAAGCTAAACAAGATAACAAGGGGGCGTGGCTAATCAGGGACACCTGGGAAGACTAATAGACATAACGGGGAACAGCTAAACATGGGACAAGACAGGAGAACACCGACAGGAATCACAACAGGGAGAGTCTTTTTCTTCCTTGCTGCAGAGCAGAGGGCGAAAGTATGGAAGTAAAATAATGACAAATGTTTTTGAAACAAAAAAGCTTGTTGAATTGCACAGCTTGAATTCCCGGATGTCAAATGTTGAATTTTCTGTCGAATTTGAACCAATGAATTTGTGGAAGCGAATTTGTTAAGCGAAATAAAATGGACCGAAAATTCCCTGTCGAATATTATAGGTTGAATTTTTAAACAGAATGAATATTTTGGAAGTGAAATCTGAAAGGTGAATATGGATTATTGAATTTTTAATAATGGAAATGTGTGTGAAATGTTTTTAATTGAAATATTCACAGCTTAAATATACAACCATGTTGAATTTCAGCCCATAAAAATGCAAGCCCTAGAAATATGATGCATTAAAATGCAAGCACGGTTAATGCAATGCATATTTTTTTCAAGTAGTGCAATTCAACAAGCTTTTTTGTTTCAAAAACTTTTGTCATTATTTTACTTCCATTCGAAAGGCCTTGTATACAACGCCTAGTGCCCAATGCCATTCACCTGCTCGAAAAACGAAGCCCCATTTTACAGCGGCAAATTGAAATTCATGTCAC